CAACATCACAGATTGGAGTTGAGAGCTGCACTCTCTCATTGTGGCTGCAAGCCCCGCTGGCTTGCCCACCAGTCCCTATCTGTGCTAGATGTGCACACTATTGCAGGTCCTGCTCTGCTGGAAGTTAGCATATAAAGAATAGATAGAGTAGTGTGGGACAAAGGTGAAAATGCAGGAAAGTTTACCCAATCCAGAACTGTTGCGAGGTATGAATATACAAAGTGCACCAACGCTTACCTCCATCTGGAAGAATTTTTGTCCCCTGTGGACATCAAGGATGCCTACTTGAATTTTTCCATCTTTCCAGCGCTTCAATGCAACCTGCTTTTGCTGTGGGCACGCAATACTACCAGTTTGTTTCCCTTCCCTTTTGTCTGGCTACGGCAATTCATATCCCCATGGATGACCTCCTTGCTATTTGGAACAGTTGGCACAGATTTTTAATGTCCAACAAGCTGTTCAGACTCTAAACAGGTGTGTTTGGATCCTGAACCTGCAGAATGTTGGAACCTACTCATCACTTGGAGTATCTGGGTCTACTAGTTACTGCTAATCCAGGAATTTTTCTTTTGTAACCGAAGCTCCTGACTCTTTGCTCCCATGTTCAGACTCTGCAGTCCAGGAGTCATCCGACTTTTTTTTACGAGGGTTCCTGGCTTGATGTTAGACTTTTGTGGGCAGTTCTGTATGACTTATTCTACTCCAGTCCTTTGTAACAGCATGCTGGCTGTATAGTACAAGAAGACAATCTCTGGACCTACAGATATGCTTTATAGGTTCTCTCTGACCTAGTGGCTCAGAAACACAGCCTCAGAGATTGGAAATCCTTCCTTCCATTGGTCTGGAAGATTCTTAGAACAGATGCTAGCCTGACTGGCTGGGGAGGAGTCCTGGACATACTTTTGGTGCAAGGGACTTGGTCACTGGAGGAAGTTCATTTCCCAGTCAACATACTGGAGCTCAGAACCATTGGCTATCCCATCAACAGTGGACCTCTTAACTGCAAGGTTATCATACTCCGATTTAGATAATGCCACATCAATGGAATACATCAACCCTCTGAGAGGAACCAGATGTTTTGCAGCTCAGAGTGAAGCCCACCAAATTCTGGCTTGAATGAAAATTTACTCTAGCCTTGCCCTCTGTGCACATTCTATGTGTGGAAAATTGGCAGAAAAAATTCCTCAGTAGACAATGATTGAACTCAGGAGAATGGTAATTTCTTTCAGGGATATTACATGTCACAGGTAGAGAATAGCGTAGACCTCCTGATCTATGACTTTCCACCCCTGAAATGCTTTCCCAGTCTTCTTTCCAGGATCGAGATGCAGGGAGTTGCAGTGATTCTTATTGCATTTTGCACCATTTGGCCCAGGCAGATGGGGTACTTGGACCTAGTAAGACTTCTGGCAGGCTATTTGTGGACATTTCCAAATTGCTTTTGTCTCAAGGACTGTTCTGCTTCATGATTGCTGGCTTTAACAGCATGGCTGTTGAAGTCCGGGTCCTGAGAGATAGAGGTCTATTTGATTCCAGTATTCCTCAAGACTAGGGAATCCACCTGTCACCAGAATACCTTTTAGAAGGTATAGTGGGGCAAGGCAAGCAAATTCCATCCCATAAACTATTCTACTGGACGCATCCTGGCCTTTCCCTGATGTCTGGATCAACATTTGGCTTAAACACCTCTCATCTCTAGTGCTTCTTTTTCAAAAACCTTGCTTCCTATTCCTTTGTGTAATCCTTTTTCTTTTCTGTTGCTTACATAGGGGTCAATTCACTAAGAGTTAAATAACGAAAGAAAAAAATGCAGTAAAATAACGCATGTGGTACATTTTTTGCAAATGTGCAATTCACTAAGAATTGTGGTAAATAACTCTTGCGGTAAAATATCTGTATTGCGGTAATTACTGCATATTTTCATGCGGTAATTTATTGCGTAGTAGCTGGTTGTTAAGGAAGCCAAATGTGGTGTCCTTAACGGATGTCTCATCAACTGTCAGCGGGTGTCCCACTGACAACTGAATGAAAACAAAACATGCCAGCAATTACAAGGTCAGGTATGGATTTTGTGGGAACCCCACACCAACATAGAAAAAAAAAAAATGAAGTGTGGGTCCCTTCACAATTTAAGGGATTTTGGGTCTGGTATGAATCTGGGGGGGGACCCCACAGCATGTTTTTAAAAACGTTGGCATGGAGTTCCCCTTAATAGCCAAACCAGACCCCTAAGGATTGGGGGGGGGACCCCCTCGCTGCATCTGAAAAAATACCACAGGTGATACCGCCAGCAAAACCCTGGTGATAAATATTGCATCATTTTTTACTTTCTGTTCGAGAATTGGACTTAACAGCTCACCGCATGGTTTTTTTTTTTGCGCTATTTACCGACACATGAATTGGACATTTTGTTACTGCATGCAATAATGTATGCAAATGAGTCACATGACAGTGTTATCGCATGCGGTAAACTTTAGTGAATTGTTCTCACAGTTCCACTGGTAAAGTCCAGTGGGATCTCAGCCTGGCAGCCCTTCAAAAACTTCTCTTTTATCCCATCAGAGACATTCCTCTGTCAATATGACCCACAAGGTTTCCTTACTTATTACCATCACGTCCATGAGGTAAGTTCTAAGTTGGCTGCTCCTTTTTGTAAAGGACCCTTTCCTGTTCTACTCTGAGCAAAGATTGTCCTAAGGCCTAGGGCTTCTTTTTTGTCTAAGGCAATTTCTTCCTCTCACCTCAACAAGGGCATTGTACTTCCTTTCCTCTGTCCTACTCCAGTACATGACAAGATGAACTCCCTCCATTGTTTGCATAAGGCAATATCTGTTTGAGTTTGGCTTGGTTACATCTTCAGGCTGAGAGACTCTTTTTTCAATCCTGAGGGTCCCTGTAAGTGACTGCCTGCCCCTTGTTACACTATTTCTTTCTAGATAGCTTAGGCAACTCATTTTTCAAGCATATAGGCTTGAAGATGAGGTTTGATATTTTCCCATGAAGGCACACCCCACTAGAGCAGTAAGTTCCTCTTAGGATTTTCAGCACCTGGCATCTATTTGCCAGAGTGATACTGGAGCCTGACCCTATATATCTACTGAAGGTGGCTTGTTTATTTAATAAAACCCAGGAAGTTATTCTGCCGTCCTTCTGTAAGATTGAAGCCCTCTTCTGGGGAAGAGCGCCTCCATTTTTTTTAAATGTTTGAAGATGCCTTATCAATGCCTAGATGCTTCTGGACCCCTCAGAAGATCAAACCATGTTCTTGTCTTGTTCAGTGCTTGAAGTGAACAGTTGCTAGATGGATATAACAAAATATATAATTTTGTTTATAAAGAAGAAGGATTGCAGGTACCTCCTTCATTAATGCCACATCCTACCAGATATTTGCAGCATCGTGGGCAGAAAGGGCAGGAACATCAGTAGAGCAAATCTGCAGAGAGTGGCTATTTAGTCTAGTCAGGATACCTTCCTCAAACACTATAGACTGGAGGTTCTTTCACAACAAGACCTACAGTTCCCAGCACTGAGGAGAAAAGTTCTGCAGACAGTGGTCCCTCTCTAAAGCTGGTCATACACGTATAGATTTTCATTGAAGAATTTTCGTTTCAAGAATATTTGTTTGATTTTCTAATGGTTAGTGGGTCAAATCAATGTTTGTTTTCGACCGCAGTGATGGGAAAATTTGAAGGGGCAGGAAGGAAAACTTTTCTTAAACAAATTTTTGGCCAGTGTATGTGGTTATTCTTCAGGAATTACATTCATTTTAAACTCAAATGTTAAAAGCAAAAGACAATTTTCAAACGACATTTGTCGATTCACTGAATATTCAAAGAATTTTCGTACGAATATTCTCGTCCGAAAATCTACACGTGTACTGGGCCAACTTGTGGTAGGCTTTTTTATTACTTTCTTTTTCTCTCAGGTTGCTGTTCTGGAAGATGATTGGAGAAATTCCAAGCTAGTTTTTACTAGTAATGGTATTTCTAGGAATCTTCCATGACGGCAAGCCTTCTTTCCACCCTTTTTTCTTCTTGTCTTGTAGATATTTTAACAATTTTTTACCCCTTGCGCAGTTGAGGAGGTAGCCTACTTTCATCTTAACTGAGGCACAAAGGAGTAGGAATGGTTTTCCATTTTTTCTGGTTGTGTTTCCTGTGGAGGGAGGAAACTGGTCATTTCTCAGGTTGCTATCTTGGAAAATTCCTAGATATACCTACTTTTCTGGTGTTTTTCTTTAACCACTTGAAAACCAGGCTATAGCTCAGTTGTCTAGTTCTGGGAGAGCGTCATATGACGTCCTCCCAGGATGCGCCCTCCCGCGCTCCCCCGATGATCTCCATGATCCTACGGACACAGCTGATCATGTGATGTGGTAAAAGGCCAATCACAGCAGATCACCGGTAAATGCAGTTGCCAGTTATCGGCTATACATTCCTCATGCTGTCAGTGCTGCCTATCAGTGCAGCCTCATCACAGAACATCAGTGAAGGAGAAAAATTACCTATTTTGCAAAAGTTTATAATAGAAACAATGAAAAACTTTTTTTTTGTTTATAGCACAAAAAATAAAACACAGCAGCAATTAAATACCACCAAAAGAAAGCTCTATTTGTGTGAAAAGAATTATAAAAATTTCATATGGGTACAGTGTTGCATGACTGCGCAATTGTCATTCAAAGTGCGACAGCGCTGAAAGCTGAAAATTGGCCTGCGCAGGAAGGAGGTATAAGTGCCCGGTAGGCAAATGGTTAATATTGTGGACCTGATATGAAATGACACACATCTAATCTTGTTAAAGCAGTGTTCCACCTGAAAAAAAAAAAATAGCTACAAAAACTGTAGCTGATGACTTTTAAAATACAGTCACTTACCTGTCCCTCAGTCCAGTGGTGTCCTCACCACTGCTGGTTTCACCGGCCGTCTTCTCTCTCTGGCGCCTGCATCTTCAGTGTGGGCACCCAGCTGTGACAGCTTGCGGCTTCACAGCCGGGTACCCACTATGCATGCGTGAGAAGCTCTGCGCTTTGTGAATGGCCCCGTAGTCTTCTGGGACCTGTCATATGTCCCGTAGTCTTCTGGGACCTGTCATGTGTCCCAGAAGACTACGGGGAGGGAGGGGGGGAGGACAACCTCCGATCACCTAGGCGATTGCAGCGGAAGTGGGAGCGGGTACCTGTCAAATTCAGGTACCCGCCCCCCCCCCCCCCTCGTTCCCCAAAGGTGCCAATCCCTAATGGGAAGCAGGGGAGAAAGGCTTAAAGGGGAACTCCCCCATTTGGGTGGAGCTCCGCTTTAAGGAGGAGCCCTTGTACACAATTTACTCCCAGTTCACAATAGTGCAATTTCAGATGCAACTCCTTTCACACAATATATGGAAATCACATTTATTTTCTATTTGGTCCCAGGGACTTAGTGGAAACTGAAAATGTGTATAAAAAAACATGTATATGCATTTCTGGTTCATCTCTTGTGTTGGTTGTGAGGGCTCATTCACACCTGCAGAAAAAACTGCATTTAGATGGTTCTTTTCTGCATGGAAGAAAGGTTCCTGCTGGCAGAGCTAGAGCTCATTCACAAGGACAGGAAAAAACGCTGCTTTTCGATGCAGATTTTCTGCATGAAAGAAAGATTGGCATACTTGTGCCTATGCCCGTTTATGTGCGTACATGAGTAAAATGTGCAGATTCATGCATGTGAATCTGCAGTTGTGGCTTACTTTTTTGTGCATGAATAAATGTATTGTATGTAGACACAGCTGGGGGTATGGACTCATTGATTACTATAGTGCTTCATCTGCTTACAAAACTGTCTGCTGTACACGTTTAAATGCACTGGGTTTTTTTCTGCCCGTGTGAATGAGCCTTTAGGAGCCGACACTCACCAGCATCCTATAACACCCAATGATTCATCTCTGATGTCAGCTAGGGATTCCTGGACACTAAAAAATAAATAAAAAAGCTATGGGGCCCGCAAAGTCCATACCAGCATGCAGGAAAGGGGGGGGGGGGGGGGAGCAAGGGAAACCTACCCCAAACCAGGGATGAGTCACTTATTGTTAAGCCCCCTACACACAGTCTGTTTTTCTTTTTTGTTCAACCCAGCAGGCTAAACAAAATAAAAACTGACAGACCGCCATACCAACACAAGCAATGCTGGTGTGGTGATCTCCCATGCTGTGACTTTGTATTTGTACAAGGGACTCCTCCCCCCACCCCAGAATACACTGCTCCCAGGAACACTTTGGTGCTGATCAGATGCAGGTTTTCCAGCATGCGCTTTTGACAAAAGCTGGTCGTTGACAATACTCCTTCCAAGTTCCAGTCCTCTGTTTGCATAAGAGCTGAGGTCTGTTGAGAGAAGTACTGATGCAAGGTGCTGTGATGTTTTCAGAAGCTATGTACAGCACCCTGCAGCCCCCTCACAACAGCCATGATCTGTCTGTATTGCATAGAGAGGCACAGAGACCCAGTGGTTATTTTGCTGGCTCTAAAATAAGGTATATTGAAAATGGAAAGGTTTTTTTTTCTTTTTTTTTGTCGTAATAGTGTGTTGATGAGGAAAAAAGGAATAATGGAAAAATATAAGCAGATTAAACTTCGTTTTTAACTCTATTTGGATCATTTTTGTCAGACCCATATGCATTCATTTTCCTTAGACCAAAGTCAGCAATAAAAAAACTTTGACATGTAGTAATTCAGTGATTAGATAAAATAACAGATTTCCTTCAGGATTAATGTTACAACATAATACTAGGCTTAGCTGAGCACTGCTATATAGATAATTACCTCCAAATAACACAGAGATCATGCCTGCCAAGTGACAGATTTGCTTTGATCCCTTTTAATTACTCCGTGAAATGAAGCAAAGAGCACCAATCAATTGCATTCCTAGTTTCATCTTTCAAGAAAAAAAAAGATAAAATGTGTTTGGTTGTTATAGTCAGCAATCAGCCCTGCAAAAATAAGAATGTGGAGGATATTGCTTGAGAATCTAAATAGCTGGGGACCTAAACCAATGGTGTTACAAAATGTACTTTTTTTCTTGGGTAATTATGAAACACGTTGACAAACTACAATATCCACACTCAAATTGGTGACTGATTATAATTAATAATCCCTTAAAGTGTATCTAAACCCAAAAATAAAAATATTATTTATTGTAGCTTACCTGTTCTTAAAGGATAAGTTCACTTTTTGACCAAAAATAATAAATGCACATTTTTTTTTTTCAGGCAAAAAATGTGCATTTATTTGTTGCAGGAGCCTGGAAAGCATTGCACCAGCGATCAGCAGATCTCTGGTGCTATGCAGGTCTCCTGCAGATCTGTCAGTGCCAGACAAATATACTGACAGAAAGAAACAATGAACTACCACGGTGGTGTTCATTGAGAGCTACAAGCCGAGAGCCGCTAAGGCTGTTGGGACTTGTAGTTCATTCATTCATTCATTCACAGAACTCTGTGAATAAATGATGCCGCCGTATGGAGCCCCGCACGGCCATGCTGATTTAAAAAACTGACAGCTAGTACAGGACACTTCTTCCCATACTGATGTCACGAGGGGGGGGGGGGGGGGGGAAATCGGGCAGCGGCTGCAGCATTGGCAACATGTTCCCAAAGGTAAACTTGTCCTTTATGGCTGCATTCACACTTGAACAGAGTGATTTTTCAGGCGTTTTTTATTTGAGAGTGTTGCAGGCATATGCAAGCCTTTTAGAAGTGTATTGCAAGCAATTTACATGTGTATTCAAACGTCAAGTGTTTGAGTGTATTAGCCAATAGAAAGCACGAGGGGATGAGAGTGGAGAGCTGCTGTTTAGCCAGAAAATGCACACAAAACGCTCGTAAAGCGCTCATATCATGCATTTTCAGCAGTTCCCATTGAAGTCTATGGGGCCAAAATGCTCCAAACAGACTGAAAATTAGTTCATGTACTTTTTGGAGTGACAGGCATTTTGCTACAAGCAACAAAACACTGAGATGTGAACAGGAGCCATTGAAATAAATGTGATTTTGCTTGTTGGGCGTCTTGAAGCTTTGAGCTACAACATGCTCAGGTGTGAATGAGATCTTAATGTGGTGCGTGGGTTAGTTTTCATATATAATTATATATATATATATATATTTTTTTTTTTTTTTTTTTAATTATTATTTATTTTATTTTTTTCTTTTATGCCTTGTTCACACGGGCAGCACAGCATTGGCTTCCAGACGTTCAGGAGGTGATATTGCTGCTTCCCGAATGCTTGCTGTTTTACATGGAAGTGTGGTCTCAGTCACCTCAACTGCTGTATTTTGCAGATGGCACTGCCTGCCAAATGCTGCATACCGTCTGTCAATGTGATAGTGATTGAAGTTCAGACAGGAAATGAAGGCACCCTCAAGTTAGCTGTAGAGATGCAAGTCTGTAGGGTATTGAGAGCAATCAGTTTCAACACAGGAGGACTTGCTACATGTTTAGGGAAAAATGGTATCTTTAAATTTTTGTTCTTAAAGTGGAACTAAAGGTAAAAATATTTATCTTAGTACCAGGGGCGGACTGACAACTCATGGGGCCCCCGGGCAATAGGGGATCATGGGGCCCCTGTGTCCTTGCCCAAACTCAAAAAAGCCTATGAAAAGGGTACCAGGGGCATCTTATGGGGCCCCCTACTGACCCCGGGCCCTCGGGCAGTGCCCGAGTTTCCAAATGGTCAGTCCAGCGCCCACAAGGTCCCCTCCCTGGCTGCTTCCAGGTGCTGGTTTTTGGCCATTTTGATTGACATGTACAGGAGTGCAAGAAAAAATCAGAAATGCACATTCTTTTCCTTGCAAAAATATGTATATTTATTATTTTTTCCTAAAAACTTAACTTAGCCTTTACAATAAAAAAAAAAAGGAACTTAAGCAAGCCATACATGGGTCGAAATTGCAAACGATTTGTCGATTGAAAATCGAAAACACCACTCATTCTGTAATCCAATGGTGCCATCAATGATTTTGAAAATTTGTAGTTTTTTCGCAAATTTTCCAGCGTGCCCAATAAATGAATGGGGAGGAACCACGAAAATTGTCCAGTGCTATTGCCCCACTAACAGAGCGAAAAACGGCCGATTATACTTAGGTTTGATTTTCAAATGAAAAATCGTTTGAAAATCGATCCATGTATGGTTGGCCTTAGCCTTTAAAGCTGGCCAAATATTGTATGAAATTTGGTCGGTGGGTGTGTCCCCATTGGCTGCCTCCAGCCCAATACCCTCGATTGAAAAATAGAAGGAGCGAGGTTGAAAATTATTGGATGAAAAGCCTCTTTTATCCAATCAAATGCAGTCACTATGTATTTATTAACATACGCAATAGGAGGTTCGTCCATCTGCAATAAAGAGGGAATATAAGCCTGAGGCAGGCTATCTCTGATACTAAGAAGTATTTCTTCCAGATCTCGAAGCCCAAATTCCAGAAATTGGTTCCATCACAAACCTTGGACTCCCAAACTTGGCAGCGATCCCTCCTCATAGCTAGGGGATGCCCCTATTTTCAAGTGGGGGGTCATCTGTTGACTTTTGTGACCACCTGGACCAAAAAAAAAATGTGGATGTGTGGGTAAAACGTGGTATCCTGGGCTATGAGCTAGAACTCAAATTCTTCTTCTGGGTGCCAGTCTTCTGCTGTCTTGATTGTTGTGTGCAGGAGAGCAGGGGATTACGAGCAGGCAGGTAAGTGTATTTTATTGCAGAAGAGACATGCAAAAAAAAATTGCAAAACAAGCAGGCGCTAAATTGCAGAAGAGGTCTCTTCTGCAATAAGGAGCCTTACTTTGCCATTTTTTTTTTTAGCTTTAGTTCCACTTTAAGTTTAGTTAACCCTAAATGTTTCAAAGAGGAGTCAGAACAGTAATTGATTGTGGATAAGTGTGGCATAGAGGAGAGAAATTGGAAGCTGAGCATGGCGGGAGGTGGAGGGAAGAGAGTTGTAGCAGTTGGTCTTAGAACATCCTGAAGGAAAACAAAACAGGAGCTGACTATTTGGTTGGAAAGAGAAAGAAGGCAGAGGATGGCATTAGCAGATAAAGAAGAGGCAGACAGGGACTTAGTTAACTGATTGTGGATCAGGGGTAGAGGAGACAGAGTGACACCTGATTGTGCAGAGAAGTGATGGAGCCCCTCTTTATGTACTTAACACTCAGAAGAAACAGATTGTAGAACCAGGTGACACAGTA